ACTTGCTTGAGTATCAGCTGCAGGAGTACAGCTGCTAGTTTTCGAGGATATACATGTATCAGCTTCCAAGAATTAACAGATCAAGTTTAGAAATGTCCGAGAACTTTCGAGCCAACCTTATAGTATGCGTGTGACGTATACTAAAGTGATTTGCCTTCAAATCTTTCTTTAAGCGCATATAAACGATAACTTGAGGGGGTTTTTTGGGAAGAATGAACCCGCGTACACTATTCCTAAAAGAATGGAGCAATTGTTTATGATTATTTCCGTGATGCATGAAGTGCCCTGAGATTACTGTTTGATTTAAACGCGCAAAAGTTCAAATGGTTTGAAATTTCTTGAATGAGTACTCTTGTTTTCGTAGATTCAAATACGTCGGTTTCAATAGGGTACTTCTTTGTTATTGCTAATGTGAGTGCCTGACCTTGTACATCACTCTCCCTTTGCACTTAGTCTAGTGAGTTGCATTTTTTAAAAGAGTGAGTTCCTTTATGTATGGAGCCGATTGTTACTCGTTCGAGTGAGCGGCCCTCTTCTTCTCTCGTGCTTTTCGAAAGAATATGTTTTCCAACTAAAGTGCAAATCTGTCCTCAATTCAAAACAGAATATCCTACTTTCCATGACTGTTTTTCTTCGTTATTTACTGGAACCAAATATTTTACATTCGTTTACAACATGATGAATTGCATACCGTTTTATCAGTGAGACTAGAACATCAGAAAAGATTCCTATCATTTTGTGGCTTTTACGCCCCACCTCAGTTGATTGATTCATCTGTGCCATCATTCACACGGAACAAAAACTGGCAAATCTTTTCAAGATGCAATGATTCTGCTGGTGCATGCTTCGTTATTCTTGACAATTTGCAAACAAACCAATGTTTTGTGTTGACACAGTGATTTCTCAACAACTATGCAGTGCCAAAGCTCTGTTTTTCTTTTGTCTACAGACATTTCCTGCGCTCTTTTGTCGTTCTATGAAATCGTTCTGACGCATTTTCATAGGGTCTGGAATGATTCTACTCGTCGCTCGGCTGGAAGAATTTGCATTCACTACCCTGTGATGTTTAGTCCGAATTCTTCCACAGCTTCACACAGGCCTGTGAAAAAAAGTTTTTCCACCAATGTGATGTATATTCACAATTGGGATGCTCCACTGTATTGGATTCGCAGGAACCCGGTAGGTCACGACACTTGATGATAACGGCTTTGAAACTTGTAGACGTAAATCTTGCTGATCTTTCCCTCTGATGGAAGTCAATCATCTTATTATATTTGAATATCCTCTGTTTATAAGTTACATTTTTTCTCCTTTATATGAAGCGGATTGAGAGGGTAAGGGGGGGGGAGGGGTAGGGCCCCCCCCCCCACGAGAATAGGTCGCGAAAATTTTGAAATTTCCTTACATGGGCTATAAATATGTGCAAGTGATTTGTTTATTCTTGTAAACAATAAGAATAATCTCCAAATTTTCATAATCAAATTAGCTTTGTAAAAAAAATTTTTTTCGGGGGCGTCATCCCAAGAACTTTTTGGGAGTGCTCTTCAGTTGAAAATTTTTTTGCCGCCCCTTCCCCGCCCCCCTTGCCCGGATGGAAATCCTGCGACCGCCACTGATATGGAATGATATACAAGAGTGTTCTAAAAGTATGTATACACTGTTTGATCGTAATTATCTCTCTTCCCAAGAGCACTTCTGCCTACCTTCAAGTACATTTTGTAGAGCCGGCTTCAACTTACAAAGGAAAGATACTGGGTCGAAGTGCAGTTTCCATATGAAATGTATACCGTCTTTTTGAGCATAGAACGCTGATTCTAAATCTTTCAGTATCTGCAGAGCGCTTTCGGGTTGGGAGTTATGAGAATTTTTTGAGACAAAAATTTAAGGTTCTGGCTACGTAAAAACGAATGTTGAGGTCTTTGCGTCTTTCATGGAGTAACGATTAGCTCAAATTTATCAGACTGCAGGTATTGTCTACACGACGCGCTTTGGCAGTAATCATGGTCTCATCTAAGCTCACAGATTACGTTCTGAACAATTATATTCTAGGTGCGTCTTACAATTTTTGCTTTAAGAAACTTCCATAACTCCCCTCCCAGAAACCCTTTGCAGATAACCAAAGCAGATTCGGAATCAGCGTTCGGTGCACTCAAAATAGTATACATTCCCTATGTAAACGCCACTTCGACCAAGTATCCTCCCCTTGTGAGATTTAGAGTAAAACGAATCACTGAATTCTCTTCATTACTGTAGGGTTACGACGGATTTTAGCTTACAGCGTCTTTGTGAATTAATCGTGTTTTAAAAAGTTTCAAAAAAATCTGTGAAGTCTACCATGGTTTTCACGCGCGCTGATTATATCACTTAACTTTTTAGGAGTTATAAGGCTTTTTAGATGGTGTAGTCACAATTATAGGGAACATTTTAGAAACAGCTTTTGCGGTTTACCTAGCATAACTCGTGAAGGAAGCACTGCGGTAAAGTGCAAATTTCATAGTTCGTTTTAGCAGCTCTAACTAGCCTAGTGTAAGAGCTTCCAAGTTGTTTGGTTTGCTTTTTAAAGCAAAATGGATCCTCAATGGCTAAAAATCTGTATTGAAGTCCCTACCGCAGTCCTACAGTAATGAAAGGATCGTTGACTCGCCCCATAGCGTAAATATAGGTTGAAGCCAGCTCTACAAAATGGTACCTGGAGCTAAGCAAAACACTTTTTTGGAAGAGAGATATTAATAATCGAACGTGTATACATACTTCTGGGACACTTGTATTATTTTCATGCAAATGCGCAGCACTTGAAGTGCGATGCAGCAGTGTAAATTGTATGATTTATAAACTGACAAAACTTCTGGAAACAGGATCTTTTTGCAATGGCAACCAGTTCTGAGTTGATTTGCAGCGACCGTTCCATGGACAAGTTGTAAATGATAGGGTCTACTATAATTGTTGCAAGAGATTGTTTCTAATTGTAAGTACTCGCTTGAATGCTTATTAGGTCATGTTTGTGGGAACAATAATCGAAATTTTCAAAAATCTTGTGACTCAACTTTCTCCGAAGAGACCAAAAAGTAATGTGTAATGTAAGACAAACATTATCGAACATGCAGAAGTGTTTCACCGAAAATGGTAAAAGAAGAGGGAGGCAGGAGATTGCATCATTGTTCATTCTTTTTTCACCCGTAATTATCAAACGTCTAATTGTCATCCCAATTATCCTGTCATACATGATTATCGTTTCTCACTGTCAAACAGTATCTCAAGTGAATTTTCAAATGTTGCACGGTGCTGTCCCATTGAGTTTATTTCTTTGTTCTCATCCATCACATGAGTGTCTTTGAAGTCTATCTTTTTTTGCCGTAGACGCGTGGGTTTGTCTTTTGGCTTTCCACATTTTGAGGCTTTTTGCATCGCATAAGTTTGCAGAGGGCGTGGGTTAGTTATATTGACGTTATCATTCATGATTACTTGACAATTCATTGAATAGATTGTGCACTAAAAATTTTTGAGTAACTTAGTGGCTTCTGCCTATGAAATGTTTGATTTGTACACTATCTTCGGAAACTCTAAGCAGTAGAAGACGAGGATCACAGGGGTCAGTTATATAGACATGAGCACGACCTAATGTGATAGAAAGAGAAGCGAAAAAAATAGAGTATAGTTTTTCATGCGCACATTTCTTGTATGGAGATAATTTCAAGCGTTTGAGACGGAAACTTACAAGAAGCTTTTTGTATGGTTTTTCCAGCGCCATTGAATGAATCCTTTTCTTCCTGAACGTTAGGTTCTTATGATTGTTTACAATTGTTTGTAATTCCAAAAAAATTATGCGAAGAAATTTTTTGTGTGGCAGAACATCTTCGTTTCGGAGTTGTGCCGCATCCCAACATTGTTATCATGGAGAACTTTTTGACGAACGATCCATATATGGATCGATAGTTTGCTTTTCGTAGTTTTGTTTACAGAAGTGATCTGAACCTGATTCGTCTTCATTTGTTTGAGTGATAGTCGCTGAAAGCATACTTCAAAGACGAAATTTGGAACAAACGAGCTTTTGGAAGGGCTCCTGATTCCACATTTTAGCGTTATCTGGAGTGAGATTTCGGACATGTGCTAGGAAGAAGTAGTGCTTTGTATGAATGCAAAAGGGCTAATTTACCTTTAAAACAAAGTCAAGGATGTTTGAAAATGACCAGTTCGGCTAGGTGGCACGTAGTTGACAACCTCAAAATACTAAAACGTGGTCCAAGAGAGTTTGTGACACGCTAATTACGAAGATGGAACTCATTATGCTTGATAGAGCTTCTTCCTTATGCCCACGAAAGGGGAATCAAAGGGATCTCAATGAAGCGCAACTCAGGGGGGGGGGGGGAGACTGTCTGGCGTTCATGTGCTACACACCTCTTGCTCAACCGTGCTCGTAAGTTTTCATGGTGGGCCGTCCTCCAAAAATTGGAGTGTGCCAGGCCCCACTTCTTGCGTATGCGATATCTACCTCACATTTTTTTATCTATGAAAAGGCCGTCATATCCAGTCTGATATCTGCTGCCCTCGCGGCGGACCCTGTTGACACCGCTGTTTGAAACATGAGAATTCGCATAGTTAGACTTCCATCGTTTTTTATCAGAGTAAAGTCCTTATTTTACCAAATGCAAAAATGATAGAATCACTGCATCATTAATCTCACTCGTGACGGACACGGGAAAGTCATTGGCGCCGAGAATGGATTGCATGTTTTTTGTAAAGTGTTTGAATAAGTTTCCATCTGAGAGGTGTGGGCAACGTTTCGGTTGGTGAAACGCCCTCTCTTCTTCACAGAAGGAAAAAAAACTGTACAGAAGAACTGGGAACAATTTTAATTTCGTTGAGTAAATAATCTTTGTTCATTAACAACAAAGAGCTTGGAAAGGAGAGACTCCGTGAATTGAGAAGCTTAAAGAAAGAGATATTTGAGCTGAGCTTCATTCTATTCATTTCCGTTTTGCTTTATTTTCTTCTCATTCCAGGATTTACCCTTTGTGTCAGCAATTGTTGGTGGCCTTTTTCCTGGACGTGCAATCGTAGTGAGTGGGATGGTACTGCAGGCCTCGTCTAGTGATGCAAAAAGGCAGTAATGCTCACTTTGTTTTGTCATTGTCATCATTCTTGAATGTGTTTGCTTTTACCAATAGATATATCGCAGTTGAACAAGAAACTACTTCCAGGTTTCATATCGATTTATGCTGCGGATTGCTAATCCACGGTGATCACATGGACAATAAAGCGCTTCATTTCAACCCACGTTTTGATACGGGTGGCGGTTGGTGAGTGATTTGACTAGGCTTAATTTCCTCTCACTTGTTGAGAAGTTCGCTCTTTTGGATATTTTTATCGTAAACATTGGGAAGCTAATTTTCTCAATTTTGCCGAAGATGGGGTCAAGCTACTTTAAGTGTACTATTATGATGGACTGCCCCAAATAAGCTATTACGGTTTGATTCGGTTGCGGGATCGGTGAAGAAGATTCAGTTTAAAGCGTTTGTTTCACCGATTGTTACTGCCCGTTTTTTTTTTTAATTTTATCGAAAAATAAAAGGCATAGTTCTTGTCATCTTAATGTTTTTGATCAGTGTTGTCTCGATAATGCTTTCAGAAGGCAAAATTTTATAGTTTTCTATCCCGAAATGTTTTCTCTTACAATATTTTTCGTTAGTGTTCTCCTTTATTCGTTCACGAATTATGTTCAGCAGAGTTTGAAATTTGATTAGACGTTTCGCCCTACTTAGTACAGGAAAACCAGAACCTAATTTGCCCAGTTGTCGCCTCTAGAGGTGTGACAAATAATAGTCATTATAGGTTTTCTGGACAACCGGACAGGCAACTGGTTATAAACTCCTACGTCAGCAATCGGTGGGGAATGGAAGAGCGGTTTCCAAACCCTTTTGAGATTGGACAACCGTTCCAAATTAGGATACTTGTGCTAGAGAATTATTTCAAAGTGAGTATTTTTTTCATAGTTTGTCATTTATAATGCTTTCGCATTTGGTTTGCATTTCGTAATTTGATTGCAGATCGCAGTAAACGGGAAACACATATGCGATTATCCACATCGTGTGCCACTTGAAGACATCAAAACGATTTTTGTAAATGGAAATATTCGAGTCGACTACATCGAATTCCAACCACCAGTGAGTTTTTTCTTCTTCTGTTAACTTTGGTCATATAGTGCTATAACGGACAGTCGCTTGTTACCTTTATCTACAAACATGAGTTGTAGAAGGCTTGCTTTCTAGCTCGAAATTAGATTTACTTCCCATCTCTTCCATACGTGAGACTTCAAAAGGAAGGGTTTTTATTACGACTCATATAACATCAGCGTTTATGGTGTAATAAGCTGTCATATAGGGAAAAAGCGCTTGTAAATAGTTCAAAAACTCTCAAATATTGCGCAATAGCTTTATACGTTAGGTTATGTATGTAAAGCGTGTTAGCTCTGATGAGTTTGGAACGGACCTCAAAAGGAATCAGCGTTTTTAGGAGAACGGCAGTCCCTCTGGATAGCGACCACTCGACGTTTCCCATGTAACTTTTTATTCATTTGTCTGTCATTGCTGATATATGTTTGTGTGAAGCTGTAAGCATGTGATGAACTACTTATATCGATGAATAGAAGAGGTTTGATGAAACTCAGATATTGGCATACCTCAAATGTCCGATTAGAGCAGAGCCGTGAACGTAACTAACGAGTTTGATTGGCTACAAGCCTATGTTGCGTCCCTTAAACGCTGCTTTCTACGTTCAGACTAACTCGCTTTACTTACATCAATTAATGTTGTTACGTTTTATTCCTTATATATGTGCTGTGTCATATAATGATCAATAAATATGTTTTTGATTGTTGTTTCCACAGAGGCACCGCTGTCAGTGTGTTAAAATTGCTGTTATGGAGTAAATGCCTCCATATGAGCTGATCAATCTATTTTTTTAAACGCGTGTTTCTAAAACTCAAAATACTTTGCAGTTGGTTGACTTGAAAGCTACTGAAGCTATATGCACATCAAAAAATCATATTTAAGGTGCGAATCGGTGAAGATGGCCGTCCGATTGTGTGTGACAAGCAAGAACGAAACGAAAAGGTTATAACTGTAGATAGACCAGTAAGTTCATTTTTTATCGTGTTTTGATCAGACTTCGACTCGTAGCATTCAAAAACTTCACCCTATGTTTTTTAATACTGAATCGCCACGTTTGCCGAATATAACTATTTATGTAGATGTGATTACGTCAGACGTAGCAAAAGTGCTGGAATTAGTACAAAAAAACTATTACGAGCAATCATCAATGTATATTGCGTCGTTGTTCTATGCGACAAATCTGGCAGTAAAAAAAATGCTGTGAAGAGCGTTGCTTTTGACTTTATTCATTACTGAAAAGTGTTGCACAGAGTAGAAAAAGTTATGTTTCAAAAGTTATGAGAAAGCAAGAAGTTATGAAAAGAGCTCGATTTATGAAGTGCTTGCAAAAAAAAGCTAATTCAAGTGAAGGCAGTCGTCGCATACAGTTAAAACTTCACTTCATCGTAGGAACAAAATGTTGCTAAACATGCTACAGATACTAAATATACTGATGTTACAATAAGTGTCATTATTAATGTACCAGGCTGAAGCGATGAGCCCCACTTACAAAAAATAGCCAGTGTAAAAATTGTCATTATTAAGAATATGCCTGTCAAAAACAATAAACATAAAACATCTTGTAGCATTCACGTTACTGCATTCACGTTACTGCTCTGCTCTGTTATTTCTGGAACTCGCGTTTTTGAGTCTTTTGCTTGCATCAGTTACAGTGCATCAGATTGGAACATATCTTGGACCAAAAAATTCATTTGAAAATGCTCAGAGCAACGTCTCAATCTGCATTTTTCCCCTTGTATATGATATATGCTGTAATTATCATATACACTGGAAGTTCTAATATTCAGTATCGTGTACATTGGAGATTTTATTCCAAACAATGTTAGAATTCGAAAATGAATATTCGGAAATCACAGCTTTTGTGATTACGTCCTATCAGCACAATTTTGTTCCAGAAAGCGTTGATTCTAGAACTCGATTGTAAAGGTAACTAGAAAAGCCTGAACTATCAGATTTTTGGGGATAAAAGTTTGAAAAAAAGCAGTGTGAGCTTTGCCTTCAAAAGGTCATGTTCCGATATGGCAATGACGTCAAGAATATTTGGAAGAAGTAAAGTTTCCTTTTCCTAGATTGTGTTATTCAAATTGTGTCACTGAACCTGGAGAAGATTACGAAATTTCAAAGAATTTTCATGCAAAACTTATGTTCGAACTCAATCTAAAATTTTTGATAATCGATTTGGTTTAGTATGGTTTGTGGTTAATAAATCTACTAGTCTTTTTAGTACAGACTTTTGTTAGTGTCAAATTGTTTTGCCGTAATTTTGAGTACATTCTCGGGGTAGGGCACACTTCTTGACTCTGCATCTCCGCCACTGACTTCCATTTTTATAAAAACAATTTACAGTTGCTTCCGTTTTCGTGGACGTTCCCAGAAGAAATGTATGGCTTTGTCAGTCCACAGTCGATACGGTTCACCCTTACTCCATTCATGAGTGCCAAACAGTTCACTTGTAACCTCAAGATGGGTGATGAATGGATATTTCACTTTCGGGTCGATTTTCGACATGCGGCGGATAAACATAGCAAGGTTGTTGATTTTACATATTTCTCATCCAATCATGATCGTTGCATAGTTTAGGACGTGGTTATCCGGAATAGTACAAAAAAAGGGAGATGGCAAGTTGAAGAAAGAGAAACTGCTAATTTTCCATTTTCTAAGGGACTAACCTCTGACATCCTTTTCACTGCATATGGATCAAGTTTAGCTGTGAGTTGGCATTAATTTTTCTCTTCATTAGATAATTATAGGACTGTAGGTTGACGTCGATGGAGCACATTTTGTGAAGTTCAACTACAGACCTGGCGATGATCCTTCGAAAATAGATAAAGTGACTGTAAATGGCGACTGTGTTCTACAGCGATTTGTACATCGTACTTGGGAGGAAATCACACATTTGTAAACATTTCTCATCGAGTTGTCAGCTTATTACTTGCAAAACGCTCACTGCATCCAAAAACTTATTCGAATCGTTCTCACTTTTTTGAATTTCGCTCTCAAAATTTACTGCTTGCTTTGCCACTCGAGACTTACTGTGCTGGTGAGTATAACTTCAAATCGAATGTTCTTGGCACTTCCAAAATCTTGTTTTTTTTCTTTGAGTGGGAAGGCACTCAAACCAAAGCATAGTCTTTCATTCTTCACCAAACAAATTCTATTTGCTGTGCTCTGATTTTGTTGAACTTCTCCTCCTATCTCACTGCAATAAGAGTCTTACTTTTTCATAACCTTAGTTCGGCTGGGATCTTACAACTAGAATCGTTTTGCTAGAAGTGTTCGATAAGTGGCATCAAACAACTGCGGCTAAAGTCCTGATTTCTTTCGCTTTGACAATTGCAAGGATTGGTTTGCTGGGAGTGGGTTAGGTGACTGTGTTCGCCGCTTTTATACTTTAAAAATCTATTTTTTACAGCAGGGTTGGCGGTTCACAGTGCATAATAACATATATCTTGACTCTGCTTCTGAGATATAATCGTTCGCTTCATAGATCTACTTAATTGATGCGGGGATCCATGTTCAAAGCTTAAGTTTATAGAGCATCATGTGTAAGCACTGCGTAATGAGTGCCATTGTCAAAGAAGCAAGCATATAGATTGGAGAAAAAATGTATTTTACACTTAAATCTACTTGGGTCTTAAAGGCAGCGTCCGGGCAAAATTTCGAATGGAATTTTTTTTCGCTTACCTGGGCTTATTCCTCCCGCTGATTCTGAAAATGCAGCTTGGAGGGCACGAAAACGCCGAAATCAGGCTCTTTCAGAAGCTCTTGATTTGAATTTTGTCGCCTGCCGCCAAGGTTAAGACGCAGGGTCTTTGACACCCTCGGTCTTTACTGTGTGCGGTATGCGCACTCTGGCTCATTAAACTAACTCGTCCCGGTCGCCGGGGCGTTCCGGTCGCCATTTCTGAAGCGGATTTCTCGCTTCAGAAGCAAATTGTTGCATTGCCAATTGGGCAAGAGCTTACCAGGACGGGCGCCCCCGTACACTACATTTTCGTATCTCCCGTATCTCTGCCCGGACGCTGCCTTTAACTTGAGAGAATGGGCTTTGAATCCTCACTTCTCTAAAACTATTCCAGTTTACTGCCTCCTGCTGCATCACCAGTTTAGGAACATTGGATGCCCGTTTATAAGTTGTATCTCCGTTTAGGCAAACTAGTCTGCTTCTGCTTCTTAGATCCATGCGTAAACGCAAACTATACTCTAATCCATTCTACGCTCTCCTATTTTTATTTTATTTGAGTGCGCAAAGCACACATACTCCAAAATTTCTTATTAAGATATCACTCTAGAATTTTAGACGGAAGTTTAGGTCATAATCGCGCTTGCATATGTAAAAATCAAAACGAATTCCCCCTTGATATTGCAGAGAATACAAGATAGCTTTTGTAGTGCTTTTAGAAATCCTTCTAATAATCTGCAACGAAGTGGATTTAGATAAGGCAAAAATACATCAAAACTTAGAAAGCGAAATGCGAAAAAAGTTGTTTTTGTAATATCAAGAGCCGTAACAGAGCATAGGGGACGAAATTTGGGTTAGGGTGATATGTGAAAATTTTTGGAAATTCATGTGCGTAGGGGGAATGGGGTAGAATTGTGAAGTCATAGCTTTATCTGGTCTCGCGCAACCTCAGGGTGCTCCCAGGTTGCGCGGGCAACCTAAAATCGGAAAACACAACTCCTCTTGTTTACATAATTTCTTTGAAAAATTTTGTATCTTTCTTTTGATCATCGCTGCGGATACACACCAAATTTAGTTCCTCAGTGTTGTTTACTCGTTGTAAACAAAAGGACTGTTTATATTGTTGTGCGTAAAGACTGTGCTTTGACAGGTTGAATACGTGTGCACACAGATTTATGCATCAGTCGTGTTTGTAACGTGCTAATTGTAACTGGTAAAATCACTGTGGACCTTTAGTGCAGGCCTGCTAAAAGTTAGATTCCTGTTTTTTAGTAATTCGTCGTTTCCGGGTGAAAACTCTACGAGATGTCCTGTGCTTTCCTATTAAAAAACGACATCTAGCATGTGAAAGCGCCATCTCTGCTCAGCTTTGACCTTAGTGCAGAGTAAGTGTCGTTTGGCAAAGCAGCAGTAATTTAGCATATTTGAGGCTCATTCCCAAATTCTGTCTAGGCGCAGCTCCGGTGATCCTATATTCTTCTTTCAGTCCGTTCTTGTCGCCAACAACGTAAGGCGAAGTATCAATTCTTGGAGTGAAAGTCAAGTTTCTGCACTCATTGCGATTCGTTACGGTTTTGTCACTTTGTTTTTAGTTTGGAATACGTGCAATAAATGTTACTACCTTGAACCATGATCAGTGCTTCTTGATGTGTTCGCTGAGTGCGGTAAGTTTGGATCGACGCTTAAAATCCATGTTCCCCGGTTATTGTATAGTCTACAAGTAGGCGTAATTGAACCACTACAATCTTTGTAATATTGTTTATGAATGAAAAATATACCAAGATATCCGTACTCCGCCTACCCTTCTATTAGGTTGTTGCAAAAACAATGTCCGTTTTGCAAATTTTCACTTTGGAAGGCTATAACTTCGTTCAGTCTCCATATTTTTGTATGCAATCAAGACCATCAGAAACAGCAAACCTTTCGTAATTTATCGCGCACCTGCCCGTACTGATAGCGCAAACGAGAAGAAAACCATGCATTAAGAAACTGAAACTTTCGCTTTTGAAAACCTCGTCTTCAAGAGCTTACAACTCCCCTCAAGTTTTGTTCGTTTGGGTGGCAATCAGCTTAATTTGTAGCCACAGGCCAGGAGTTTACGTGCGTATAGAAAAGACTCCAAAGAAGGAGTTCTGCGAAAAGAAAAGATAAATATTCAAAAATATTCGCTTTTTTTAGCCTATTTGTTGTAGGCTTGTGAGTGCAAAATTATGAAAATTTGGAGCTCTTTGCGCACTGAGCAGCTAAGTTTCTCTTCAGATATTGTAGTTAAGATGTGCTTATCTCAAGCTTACAGAAATGGCCAAAGCTTTGGCGATTGCCTTAATTATGAGAAATTTCTGACCCACAGAATGTCAGCAGCGAGTATCTATTTCGAGGCGTAAATTTCTCAATCCAGATATCTCCAAAAGCCTACGCGTAAGCACGCAGTAGGTGAAAAAACTTCATTTAATATAATTGCTATGTTTTCAGAGAAATTCGTTCATTTGCTCCTGAATTGTGGTCAAGATACTCAAAGCTATGAGATTTCGATTTTGAGTGCAGATGTGCAAAAAAATTCTCACAGATGAGGGTACCAACTTAATTCCACACCGTTAGAAAGTACATGATGAGAGCTTTCTAATGATATGCAGATTCTATATCGTAAAAGAAAGTTTATAGGAAAAAAGTTGTTTGGAATATAGGCCTAGTAAAACGGACATTATTTTCGCAACAACCTAATAAAAAGCACCCAACCCTATGGACGGAAAAGCTTTGAATGGCGGGGGGGGGGGCGCTTCTCAAGGCGGGAGGGGGGCGCTTCTCTTCTCTATTGAACTCAGCGTCCCGAAAAAACCCTATTACACAAGTTTTCACATCTTTTTGAAAAATTTTGAAACGGCAGCTTTTTCCACAGTGACACCATATGTTCCAAGTTTCTACCGTAATCCTACAGTAATGAAGAGCGGTCGGTGATTCGCTTTATACTGCAAATCTAAGTTGAAGCCAGCTCTACAAAATGTCGCTTACCGCTTCTCGAAAGACCTCATATTAAGAGAGTTATTAACAATCAAACAGTGTGCACATTATTTTGGGACACCCTGTATAATAGCTTGACCTTGTACAATGCAGGTGATCACTTGTAAGTCCACCAGCTCATATGAATCATACGAATACCCTATTTAACGGTTCCAGGACTTTTTAAGGGGTTTCATAACGGAAGTGCAGGCCGTCAGTGCTATTTTAGAGCGCAACCGAAAACGGTCTACAAAGAAGTGCTTTTGCTGATAATTCAAGCCTTTAGGCACTGCCTTCACAGGCTGCTGGTCCTTTCGCCCTACTGTTGTGCATCGTGTTGGGACCAGTGGTCCGCGGAGACGGTGCTAATTGAGATCTTCGTTCATTCACCCAAACTGCGGCATAGCTCCACGAAAGTTCTGCAACAGCCTGAATCTGAAACGAGTCTCACGCCTCATCCGCGCGCACTCAAGTTTCCTCTTCATATATACTGTGCCCCATTCTTTTCAAAAAATATCCCCTAAAGAAACGTAGGCAACACCAGGCATATTTATACGAATGCTAAGTTGTTCTCCTTTATTTTGCTCATGAAACGAGATCGTAAAACGAGCATAAAGAGGGTATCTGGTTGTTGGGCTTTGCTTCCCCTGTTTTACAAATAGATACATTGTTGCAAAATATGAAAAAGTCTTTATTAGGTGAAATTTGCTAACATCCACTTTCTGAAAGTACAAAGAGGTAGAAGAGATCACATCGTATTGTATAACACACATTCATAGAGATCACAACCCACACCAGTAATCACTTCAGAAGAAAGTAAACAACATAAACCTATCTACTTTCATGGAGAAAATCTCCATCGGGAATAGTGCTAAATGTTATGCATTATGCGATGTATGTAAGGAGGCGCCTGGCAAATGGCTTCAACTTTTTGATCAATCGACATTGGCATGCAATCGGCACCTAGAATGATTTGATTGGGATCGCTTCACATTTCTCTTGTGTCTTTATAAAACGATTTCTCACAGAAGATGATTGTGTATTTCGCTTCATCTTTCATCGAGGGTGGAAACTGTGTGTGCACACACAGTTTTCACCCTTGATAAAAATTCATTCCCTTTTTCTTTAGGCCGAAAGCAGCGTCACCATTTTTACTTAAGACCGAGGAAATTATTGACTGTAGAAGGTATATTTTTGGTAGGACATAGCTAGATATATATTTAGGGTGTTTCATAAGCAACCTACTCTTCGATTGTAAATAACACTCTTGTCCTAAATCTTCTGTGGACCTATGATATCATTCTGTAGTGCTCGTTTCAGCTTACATTGGATTCACAGTGTGGAGCGAATCACTGATCGCTCTTTATTACTGTGCGAATAGTTTGGAAACTTTAAAGGAATTTTGAGCCTTGGAGAACCTACTTCGCCAGAAAGGAAACGACGCAATTTGAAAGTCTTGCACTAGGCTAATCAAAGGTTGCTGATTCCAAGTATGATTCGCATCTTATCATACTTATCATAATGCTCAGAAAGTTATGCCAGGTAAGCAGTAGCATGTTTTTTCGGTTCCTAAAAAACATGAGCACACCGTTCAGAAAGGGTTCACAATCTTGTAAAAGTTGAGTAAAACTCAGCGTCCCCAGCGTACACACTTTTCGGATTTTTATTCAAATAATGTTGAACGGCAGCTTTTTCACACGTCACATGCCGGAAGTTCCTACCATAAATCTACAGTGATGAAGAACGATCAGTATTCTCTCCATACCGCAAATTTAAATTGAAGCAAGTTCTAAAAATGGAACCTAAAGATTCTCGAAAACTTCATGACAAGAGAGTTATTAACGATCAAACAAAGTATACGTACTTTTGGAATGCCCATAATTGATGACACGTTAAAATTGTGAATGTAAAGAGAATGATCTAGGGTTGCGCTTAGATCGAAGCGATTACACCTTTGATACCAGAAAATGACAGGGAACACAGGGGCGACAAGATTTAATCGTCTCTCCAACGCATTCAATGCATAAAGACTAAAGTTACAAGTATAATGGAAACATGAAGATATTCTCAAACTCTGGAAGTCTATCCTGGAATTTTCCAGGATAAAAAGGAACTGAGATAGCGTTGAGGGCACTATCGGACGTCTCAATATAAGCTTGCTTAGAAAAGGTCCTTTACAAGCGCCTTTCCAGAACTTCTTTCGTCCATTCGCTATAAAATGCTTGTCCTCTTTCATCATGCCCTCACATAAATCGGTAATTATTATTTAGCTTTAATCAGCAGCTAGCAGAAGACGAAGCGACTCATAGTTTTGAACTCATATAAAACTTATATGAACTTAATTTACTTGACCTAAGTTGACTATTTATCTCTGATTGTTGAACTCATTTCACACACAAAAAGTAAAATTCAAGAGGAAAGCTTTCTAAAGACTGCTAGCACTTCTTTAGCCACACTCAAAAATATAATTTTACGACGAAAAAAAATGGTTGTACATATATTTTGCCTATCACATGACATCGGCTTCTATTTCAGTCCCTCCTCAACCTCTTTCTCCTAGCCCAAGTGTTTCCACAAACTTCTTTTTTTTCCTTCCACTCTCCATCCCTGAGTCAACACAAAGTCTTTACCTTAAAAGAACTCCGACTACTGTGACTCTCTCCCCCTGAGGACAATGCTTAACTATCGCAAATATGGCATAAGAGCGTGGATATTGTGTGCATTTTGGTTGTACCCTGAGAATGTTCACAAAACAAAGTTAAACGGAAGGGATTACTCACTCTCATCCTTGCTCTGCAGCTTTCGCTCATAACTTATTCATCAGCAATCTTCAAAGTAAATGCCCAGGAAATGATCTGTGGCAAAAATTGTGCACAACTTTTACCGCATGCGTGGGGAAACACTGCATTCTTTCACCTGCTGCAATTACCGATATGAAAGGTTGGTTAAAATTACACGCTACAGTTGCCTGAGACGAATAATTGCTCAAAATATCGCGCAATATTTTGTGAATGATCAGAAACGTTTTGGAATGCCGACAATCTTCGTTCTTTGGTTTCTGATTATCTTTAGCTTGAGCGCAGTCAAACTTACGCAATCGTACATGACGCAAGTTCCAATGTTATATCAAATGCATCTTTTATGCAAGTTCGAGATGTGTTTCGACCTTGATTATAAAATCTGAGGGATGTCCAGCTGCGGTGCCTACAATAATCGTGCGTTCAATCATCTCAAAATATCTCATCTGTAAGTGTTATAGCCATTTTTCACGCACAACTGTTATCGTCACCGCAGAAGCACTATAATATACGTCAAATGTACAAATAATTGCATATTTAGAATTGCATACAAAATTGATGATGCGTATTTTTGAGGCAAGTTGTAAGCTGCAATGTTAGCTTCAATCAAAAGGGTACCCAGAAAAATGGTTTGGTCTCGAGGGTCCAAATGTTGATTCTGATACCCCTTTCCCACTTACATTCTGTTGTTCTCTCGGTTGTAAGAAATGAACAGCGTGCTAAATGTACATTGTACGAATTTTTGTAGAAGGCTTGTCTGTACAGACCGGAATGACGTATATTTATTGTGAACGGATAACAATTTGAACCTCCACAAAAAGTCCCCGATGACTAAAGCGATTTTTTTGATCTCCGAAAATTTATGTCGTTAATTAGCCTTGAGTGGACTATGCTTGGAAAGTATAGTATCCCAGTGGGATGGGACTAGATCTCTGTGTAAAAGATACTGTTCAGTAGCACCTCCCCCCCCCCCCACTCCCAAAATAGGTCCTGGGAAAGTGGTCTGCATAGGTTGTAAAGAATATAAACAACTTATTCAGTTTGAAATAGTTTTGTATCTGCAAGGCATAGGGTTGAAAAGTCGACTTTTAGGATATTTGTTTGAGCAAGTAATTAAAAGAAGAACAGTCTTAAAACTTAAATCTTTAACTAAAGTCACTCCAATTCATTCAGAAAAATTTCTGTTGCTTCTCTCTTATCCGAAAAGATTTTCGTTGCTATAATAAATGATTCTACACCGAAAAACGCGCATTAACATAAAATTCCTTAGACGTTTTGAACTCAAACGCTGTTTGCGACGTTCTGAGACTTTTAACTTATTGAAGAGCAAACAACTTCACTATAAATACCAATTAAAAAAGATGCTGTGAATTATTTTCGAAGATGGGTAACTAAGGGTCTGATTACATCTACTGTACCGCATCGGTCATACTGATAATAAAATTGATGAAGCGTCCAAATGCATATTTACTTCAAAATTCACTCGCCGTGCATGGGATTTTCGAAGGTTTCTCAATATCGCTTATCAGCTAAACTGCGATTATCTCCAATGGAAGTCCTCCAATCCTTCAGTAGCGGACCGAAGAGTGGGGGCCGAGAGAGGGTCGAGAAACTTGGACCACAGTAATAATTCACGATTCCATTTTTCGTACTTTTAGATTTGTGGATCTATCTCAGTACTTTCGCCACAAAAAGGATTATCCTTTCATTTTTATGAAACAAAGTTTGATTTTCTTGTCATAATCATGAATTCGCTTTCAATACCAATCCTTCAGTAGCGGACCGAAGAGTGGGGGCCGAGAGAGGGTCGAGAAACTTGCAAATTGTCTTCATGGTTCATAAAAATGCGTAAGTGACTTGGTAGTACTTGTAAATATTAGGCTGGAAACTAAGTTTTGCATCTACTTTCATAACCTATCTCCCTTTAGATATAACGCATTCAAACTTGGGCAGTATGTAGAGAGTAGTGTGAGCTACGATTGACCAACTGCTTGAATTTTGAATACGAATTAGAAAAATTTCAGGCATTTTTCGAAAAGTAAATTTACCATGCGCAATAATCCAGAATTGTGTACTAATTGTTGCTAGAGCTTACTTATTCAGTCCACCAAATATAAATAAAATTCAGGGGTAACTCGAGATTTGGCGCACTCACAATTTCGAAAGAGTTGCTGTCCAAGGCTGGTGGAGACACCCGTCAATGATTAAGGAGTCAGAACCACAGTTCCCCCGAGCCTTTACATATTGTGGTTCTTTAATGCTCAACACGAATATCATATTCATTTGTCGAATCAACGCCTCTTTCCTTGTTTAGGATGGGACCCTATGTCGTACACGTACAGTAATCTCACAAAAAAGCTCTTACCACGCAACTTCAGTATCGTTTTCGTGATCAGCATGCCTGATACCCCCCTATGCCAAGTTTCAGCCAAATCTGTCGTATTTTATAATTTTTCCCTTTATACAATATACCTACCGTAACTCTCACTTCGACGTCAGAATTTGGGAAAACAGCAGCTGCGCTTGTAGCTTACGTCATAACCAGCACAGTTGCAAAATTTGTTGAGTGAGAGGAAAGTTATTGAATGAGTTGCAAAACTTAGTTTCCAACCTAATAATTATCCTTAAAATGATTTATAAACTTTTTCAAAATTCAAATTAACCTTGTGCAAATCTTTTTTGGGGTGTGGCTGCTGACAGTCTCTGTTCTAAAAGTTCAGGGTTATGTACCCTCAAAAATTCTCGGAAGCATTCCAAAAAATTTTGAGCGCGTGGCTAGTGCCACGAACCTCTAGAAAACTTTTTTGTCCCCCTCCCCTCCAAAGGAAGTCCTGGAACTCCACAATCCATGTAATATTTCGAGGTCCAACTTCCTTTATCGCTTCAATTCTGACTGTACCAGTTCATTTAGGGACAACTGATACTTACTTTTATTTTGGCGGGTACGAAATCGGCGTTTAGTGATGGAAGTCGAACGTACGCTGATCGCCACTCATACAACGTCACGCATTCGGACGAGTACCTGCATCCAAGTGAATTTTATTTTGCAGAATTTGAGAGATGAAACAGTAACTGACAAGATTGTGTCGATGCCATGGCACTGTGGTCTATGATGTCCATTGGTGCATTCTACGAACGTTGCCTCGAAGCTTTGTTCGGAATCTTGTTGTATTTCCACATAACTGCCGTTTTCCACTAAAAAATACACATAAACTAAGAAAGATATATTATTTCCCTAATAAAGTAGCTGTATTATTGTGTTGAGGGCTATCCTTTTAGACTTTTGAGCTCGCTACTCCATAACCATCTCGGCTTCTTTTTTGTCTAGCTTCAAGACTTTCGCCAAGCCTTTTTTGGAACTCCTTAAGTTTGGTGCACAGAACAATAGACAGCTCAAGATTTCCCTTCCCGACATATTGATTGATCAAATATTCATCCTCAGATAGATCTCATTTTTAAACACTACATTTCTGTGACAGACTTTTACAGTCACACTGTCACCGAAATAGAGTTGGGTAATTATGGAGCTACAAAAATCTCTTTTAAGCTACGATTATCCTCGATTTGTTTTTTGATTACGTCAAAAGCTTTTTTGATGTGTCTCTCCTCAAAGTGCAAAGGTGACAGGAAATTGTGCATATATAATTGAGTCACATTGAGATTCTCACTGGTTTCGATAAGTGAAAACCTCAAATAACTCAATGATGACTGTTTAACTCCAATTAACTCAATTTGACTGTATAACGAATTACGCTGGATAGCAAAAGATGCAAGGTTTACTTTTGTAAGTCTTACATTCGACAAGTTTCTCTTACATTAGTAATCTTCGTAGAAATCTTGCTAAAGGTCTGACTTTTGATGTTCGTGCAGAATAAATAGGGTCCAAAATTAATCTTCCGAAAACTGATTTTCATGCTATGGATCATAAACTATTGTCCTCAGCAAATTTCAAACTCTATTTTTTACAGTTCATCTTGCGATCATGGTAGCGGTTATGGTGTGCCATAGACGAATCGGGTCTTGCAGATTCTGTCATTCAGGGAAAAACTACGGTAGGGGAAATGGAAGAAAATTCAAAGTGATTAGTAGAAGACCTGCAAAGTGGCCCGATTTATTTCGTGACTGCCTTTGCATGCCACAATAGTCGAGCTTGTTTCAATCTGCTGTTCAAGAAACACACAGCGTTCGAAATGTATTTTGAAGCTATCAATTTGTCTCGACATTGACGACATCTATTGGCAGTTACAAATGACGTTTACATTAAGAAAAGTCTCAAAAAAGACGTCTGGCTACCGTCATTGCTTACATGCCCTTTCATTTGCAGCAATTTGCTCGCTCCCACACAGTTTCAATATAATACTTACTATGGCCAAATTGCGGCGTATGCCTCTTCAAAATAGTTGTGGGACAGACGTGTTCAGGCTCTGGGAGTTCCAAATCCAACGATTTTTTCTGAATTGAATTTTTCTGAGAAATTGCATATAGCAAGGGATTAATGACGGCAAACCTGCATAATGGGGATGAGAAACTCTCTTGTGTCGGGAGGCAAAGAGTTTGATGACAGCACTATAAATAGAAAGATATTATGAAGCTTATCCCTAAGATTCAAAGTCCGATTTTTATAGAACTCTAATAAGTTTTTTTTGGATTACCTCACAGTTATTCTACTGTGGATGAAGGGAATTTTTTACGAAAATGATATCTTCCGCGAGTGGGCCACAGTATGTGTGCGGTACGAAACGAAATACCAGAAGCACACGTGTAACTTTGTAGAGAGGAATTATCCGACTAGTGATTACGAATATCGTATCCTGCTTGCGACAATTTTCATGGTAAGATTACGATGATCATATGATAAGGTATTCCATGTAAGGGCCCAGCACGAGGTGGCATGTGAGAGTTTTGGAAACGAAGTCCCCTTTGACATTGCAGAAATTTAGGAATAACTTTTTGTGGATTTGGAAGCACGGGTTATAATCTATAGCAAACGATAAGTGGAAAAGTGAGAAAAAACTAGAAAATTCGGGATAAACAAACAGAAGGCGAGAAAAAAGATTTTTTATGTCGTCAAGTGCTAGAGCAAAACAGGGGGTCGAAATTTGGGCTAAAATGAGTACTCGGAGCTTGACCTGAAGAATGGATTTATGTCAAGTTTTCGAAAGATTATGTAAGGAAGTGGGTAAATCATGACTTTGTTTGGTCTCGCGCAACCTCAAGGTGCTCCCAAGTTGCCCGGGAGCAACCTCAAATAGAAAAACACTTACAACTTCCTTCATTCACATAATTTTTTCACTTATCTTTTATTCGTGGTCCCGAAGCTATACACCAAATTTGATGGCTTAGTATTGCTTAGTCGCTGTAAACAAACTGATTGTTTATCATTTTGACTTTCGCAAAATTTCACGAAGTCCCCTTTGACCGTAAACCCTAAACATAGAAACCCTAAAAAAACGAAACGCTGACTAAAAACACGTAAGCTAAGTTGTGCTTTTTAGGCCACAATAACGATATCCCTAATATTTCCGTGCACTGATTTTCAGCGACTTCAGGGTTGTTTGAAGTGGAATAGTACACAGATTCTATATACTGAACTTCTTCATGGATAGCTACTTTTGAAACTTTCCTGCTAAATAGTGGCTCAACTACAATACCGCTCACAGAATGTGCAAATTCTGTGAATGTCGCGGAATTCCAGCAGGTTCCGCAGAAATTCGCGACATTCACGGAAATTTTGCACATTCTGTGAGCGGTATTGTAGTGTCATAAAAAACAGAGTTCAATTGTTTCCAATCTATACAATTTTTTAAATAGTTGGGGAACTTACCGTAAGCTAATGACACTTCGAAGATATAGACCTTCAACATTGTAACAATTGTCATAAGGCGAAGACACCGATTCATCTGAAAATCTAAACTTTACTGAGCAGGGATAGCTTGTGCTTGACTGCGAGATTTCGACGTAATGAACAAAAAGATGACTTGCTTTTAATTGGGAAGAAGATTGTTTTTTACACTCAGGTGATGATTACTACTAGTAAACAAAGTGGTGAATGATCAATCAAGAGAAGGAATGTTGGTCAAAGTGGCCTTTTGACATGGTATGTACACCATCTTTTGGGGCTTCGAACGCTGACTCCATATCTGCCTTGGCTATCTGCTGCGGGCATTTGGGCGAGGAGTCATGAAGGTTTTTGTGAGTAAAAAGTCGAATGCAAGATTAGTGTAAAACCAGTCGTAACATTTTTCTAGGCCTTAAAACTGGTACTCGAGTTACTTGGCGCGATTAATATGCTTGATTCAAATGTATCAACTCGCTGCTGCCTCATTTAAACGTTAGAAAAAGGTTACGAATGATTTCACTCTAAACTTGCATTTAATTTTTTATTCACAAAAACCTTCATAACTCCTCGTCCAGAAGCCCGCAGCGGATAGCAAAGGTAGATTTGGAATCAGCGCTCCAAGCTCTACAAGATGTTGTACATCTCATTTTAAAAGGCCACTTTGACCAACCTTCCTTCCCTTGTAAGTCAACGGAATCATAGACGTAGTTACCTACGCTTTCGTCCTAGCATGAGAAAGATATGACATTTTCGGTTAATTTCTAAAAGTTTCGACTATGCTGGGTACCGATATTTCATCGAGCAATCTAGACTGTAACAAGCTCATGGGCAAGTAGGCAGATTCAGGAGGCAGAGGCTCTCAAATTAGCTCGATCTTTGTGGTAAATTTAGATTTGCATAGTCCTATAGTACTTCTCATTTCAGTCTTTCTATCACTTGATCATATGATAAAGGAAGTAAGTATGAGCAATTAGAGTAAGCACAGTTATAATGCCAGATTTATTAGTTATTTTATGGTGCACTAAAGTACATCTGCCTCTATAGAGTTCGAATCTTCATAAGAATGAAAAAACTAACTGAGTTAGGATAGGGATAATATCGCCTTACCAGTTAATTACTCTCTGGAGAGTTCCTTTTGTGCTAGTTTGGTAACGGTATAATCTTAGATTACGGTAAACCTATTCTTAAGGCTTCACAGATCAGATGCTCACTCGTTCCTGTTTGTTGAAGTTTGAAAACGTTATAACAAGGATAATAGTATTACTTACTGCGATAACGAACACAGAATAATCTAGAAGTGGACTTCTGAAAGGAATACATCGAGAGTGCTTGACTTGCATAAAGGATATCTCTATGTTACAGTGCGAAACAATTAGTCCATCTCTAACAAGAAGGGATCTGAACAACATCCAAATTACGGAAAGGTTGTGGATACAAGGACTGTACTTCAGTTGCAAATTTTCTGCAAACTATGACTTCTCGAAAATAAAAACAGGCTAGAAGTGTATGTCTAGGTTGGACTATCCCTTGAATTTTGCTAGTGGTTGCACTCAAAAGTTCTGGAAGGTTCTATTTAGGGAAAAGGAAAAAGTTCTATTTACATGCCTTGTTTTGGTTCTGGTGCGTCATCTCAGAAAGATTAGTCAGAGCGTGGAACGAGAGTGATGTCAAGCTGGAAATCGTTTTAGATGGAATAGGGAAAGGAGTATCGTAAATACATGTTCATACGCACATACGCACCCCCTTAACAAGTTGTTACCTGCAAAAGCACCGTCTTGCTCAAGACGTCATATTCAAAAACCGAGTTCTATATTGCTTCAGGCCTTGGGCAGAGTTCATGCGTTTTCATCGCCTCGCGATTCTCCAACAAGACAACAGTCACAAGTCCATTGCATGCCAATCATCTTGCGTTTCGGTCATGATAGTTTTCCGACACGACTAAACGTGATTAAGTAAAACAACCGAAATGCAAAATGATCGACATGCAATGGACTCGTAGTTGTCTCATCTGAAGATTTCCGAGGCGTTGAAATCGCGTGAATTCTGCCCGTGGCCTCAAAGGCATTGTCCAGGTGGACTAGGGGGTGGTGGGATCTTGGCGCAGAGAGCGCAGTTCCTGACAAACCCAACAGTTCAAGTCCCATCAAAAAAGGTGGATTCTGAAGCGAGAAAATTGCTTCGGACGAGTCTACAAAAAGAGGGCGGTACTCTAATCCCGCCTCCAGTCGGAGGAATCCCGCCCATCCAGCGGTTTCCTACAACTGCAGCAGAGCGCTTCTTTTCCATCGCTCTTCCGGAGGGACCCTCGATAAGGGATTTTGCGATTTTTGGATAGTTTGATGGGCAGATTAGAATACAGAAGGCCTAGAACAGTCAAAGGGTCTAAAATCCCAAAGTTGAAAAATTCTACGAGAGCCTTCAAGTAGTGAACAGTTATAGCCTCGTTTACAGCGCTATACATACAAAATATGAGGCCTAGTGTGGTATATAGACTGATAAAGGCTAGGAGTATAGAGCGGGTTAATGTGGTAAAATTATGTGACGAAGGGTGTGGCAACAGGGCTCGGCACGAGCTGGCACCAGGGAAATTCCAAAACGAAGTCCCGTTTGATCTTGGAAATTTCGTACAAAGTCCCCTTTGACCTGTTTTGAAGACTCGTCTTTATTTTTAGATTATGTGCAAGTATGTAGTAGGGTTTTCACTCATGCTGATTTCGAGGAACAACTTTTCACAGCTTTCTGAGCTTTTTAAGCGGTAGAATCACATCTTGAGAAGCAGAAGAAGCCGATATTTCGACTACGGAGCAGACTGAGTAATTTTCAGATGGCCATAAAACGCTGAAAAGAAAACATTATGAAATTGTTTCTACTCTGTATGTAAACTTTTACAGTGTAGATGCATTTTATGTAAAAAAGTATGAAAACTTATGTGAGCAAAGTGTCGGTGCCAGCTCAGCTGGCACCCAGCTGGCACGATGTCAGCTAATTCAGAAAAAAGTTCAGCACAGCTTTCATTCACATAAGTTTTCATAAATTTTTGGGCCCTAGTTCGGGTCCCCCAACGCGCCTACACACACCAAATTTGGTGTCATATTATTGCGTGTTGGCTGAAAACAACGTCTTTGTTTGTTTGGTGGACAGCATGCCGGTGGCATGCCGGCGGCATTCTTGCGGCTCTTTTCCGCCCCCGACCCCGGAAAAACGATATCACCTTTGCTTTTCGCTCTAAAAACAATATCCAGCTTGACCCGGTGCCAGCTGTGCCTAGCCCTGCTTCTGTATATTAGAAGATGCGCCGCGCCAAGCTGAACCGAATGGTGGCTTTAGATGCAGAATTCGTCCACTCAGAAGCGAGATATGGCCACGCGACGGTGAGTTCATACATTATGCGACCTTCGCGTCTGTTTTCCAAAAATGTGAGCGGTATTGTATGAAAGCAGCGGGTGATTTTATCGAGCAAAAATAAAGTGAAAGTCTCCTGAGTAAGACGAACTTGATAGCTGCCCTTTCAATGTCGAAGATTTTGTTGAATATATCAGGTTGTTGCATAAGTTCTGTCCGATTTAAATATTTTGAGTTCAAAATGTCATAACTTCTTTCAGAGCCAACTTTTTCCAAGATCTTAGTTTCCGTGGGTTGAGCAATTCCTTGGCTATCAGATACATATTAGAACCTGCGCAAATCCTTGTTAAGGAAGAAGCAAGAATGCAAAAACTTCACAGCGTTTTTCTTCGATTCTGTCTTTTTTGACATGGTAACGCTCCCTTATGAGAGGTGATAGGCATCTTTTCTAACAATGGATAGATAGAGAAATTTCCGTAGATTATTAAGCAACATAAAAGAGCCCATAGGGTCTGCGATGCCGAGAGATTTTTTTTTTTGACCGAACAAAAAATTATCCACTTTTTGACCTCGCTTCAGCACATGTATGCATGCCTATTTACGAATTATGAAAATTTTACAACTGACGTGAGCGCCGAAAAGGAAATTTTGGATGGGCCCTGTTAGCTCTTGCTTTGCCCTAGCATCTCCACCTTTGAGCTTATCGATTACTTCTGATCGCAGAAAGTTATTGCTTGTAAAACATCTATACCAGAGATCAATGGTCGATGATAAATTTTACTAGCAAGACGTTTTCTTCATGGAACCGAACTTCTGCATATACTAGCATTCTATACCCTTATTCCGCAGCCAATGAAAGAACTTGACTTTAAGGGCGCATTGTGGAGATTTCCTCGCAAGAACATATTTCTAAGGTGAGAACGTACCTCGGCCACTTAGAGATTTTAGGCCTGAAATCTCCGTACACTAAGAAATTTATTGAAATCTGATATGCGTAGAAAGCGCAAGGAAAGCACTTTCAAATGATACCAACAGTATTGCATCAAAGTTGAAATTCTCTTAGAACAGCTGCTTCAAACATGAGGCAAAAAACTCGGACAGAATTTATGCAACAACCTAATATAGATGATCACTATGATAAGGAAAAATGAGTTACTTTGGTGCAATGGCTAAGCGAAGCTAAGTGAAGATTGTGATCGCCTCTTTCTGAGGTGTACAATCTGTAGAGTGAAGTGGAAACTTGTAGATACCAGAAAAGTACTGAAAGGCGGAGCCTGCAATTAGATCAAGAGCTAGACGACACCTAATAGCTCAGCGGCTCAGTCCATATTATGGTATTTGCATAAGTTTCGCACTAATTAGCAAAAAATTGCAAATATGTTCAAAAATCCTTGCCATAGTGCATCATTCGCAATACATATTAAAGATTTATTCAAAAAAAGTTGACTATAGATCTGGAAATGTCAAAAATTATGACTATCTCTACAAACAATTTTAATGATTCTCATTATCAGCTTGTAACGCATTTGCAAACTAACTTTCGTTCTAACAATAAGTATCACTAGGCCATAACATTCAACGAAAACAAAATCGTTGATAGTGAAGAATTTTACGTGCTCGGCGTTGCTACTGTTGGTGCAAAACTTATGTACTAATTCAATTGTAATAATGCAAAAATAACAACTCCATTAAGACTATAAAATAGTATTAATTCTATGC